CATGTGAACATGTTTCTGCAGTGACTTTTCATTGTGTTAGACGTGCTTCTAGCACGTCTGCTTTCTTAGACAGATTCCTTGATTGTGCCTAGTTAGTAAATTCGAGTCTACTTGTTAAACTCTTTCTTCAGTAAATGTCTTTGTCATCTAAAAGTAGATGGACTCTATTGAAAAGTAGACTTTATCCCACGGAAATGTGCCTAGGCACATTAGTGAATCAGGGTCTGACTGTCTTCACTGTGTTCCATGGTATATCTGATGTCTTGGAAATTCTTTTGTACCCTTCTCCTGACTGATACCTTTAAACAATGAGATCCCTTCTGATGCTTTGGAAGCTCACTGAAGACCATGACTTTTGCTGTAGGATGCGATTAAAATGACAGGAAAGACCTACTAGAACAGCTGAACTTTATTTGGGGTTAATCAGAAGCACTTTAAATGATTAACGAGGAAAGAACAAACAGAGGGCGCACAGTGCATTACCATAAAAAATGTTTTATAAGAAATAAAGTAGGTGTTGTACTCACAAACGACAATAAAGTCAAGGCACATCATAAAAGAAGAGCTGGGTCAACACCACGCTAAGTAACCGGGGAGTGTAGACATCCAATAGGCTGACGCGTTTTGAGGACTTGCCTCTTCCTCAGAGCCACTTTAAATGATGGTAGATGTGTACTGACCTATTTAACATGAGTTTGAACGTGATTGCTTAATTCTGAACACAGCTACATCCCCAGTTATAAGAGGGTGTGTGCACACTTATGAAACCACATTATTTTAGTTTTTTAGGTTTACTTCCCCCATAAAAGATTTCAATTTGTTTTTCAATTGAGTTGTACAGTTTATAAGTCACATTAAAAGGTGGAAAAAGTTCTGAAATTATTTATCTTTGTCTCATTTTTTTACATCACAGAAACCTGACATTTTAACCACTTGACCTCCAGAGGATTTACCCCCCTTAATGACCAGGTCTCTTTTTGCTACGCGCTGCACTAATTCAACTGATAATTGCGTGGTCATGCAATGCTGCACCCAAACAAAATTTACGTCCTTTTTTCACACAAATAGAGCTTTCTTTCGGTGTAATTTGATCACCTGTGCGCTTTTTATTTTTCACGCTATAAACAAAAAAAGGACAAAAATTTTGAAGAAAAAAAAAATATTTTTTACTTTCAGCTATACAAAATATATAGTAAACTCAAAGTTGGTTATAAATTTAGGCCAAAATGTATTCTGCTCCATGTTTTTGGTAAAAAAAATCCCAATAAGTGTATATTGATTGCATTGTGTGGAAGTTATAGCGTCTACAAACTATGGTATAAATACAGCAATTTACGCCATTTTTCTGCAATACAGCGCTGCGCTAGTTTAACGGACAATTGCGCGGTCATGCAATACGATACATAAATGAAATTTACATCCTTTTTTTCCCCCAGAAATTGAGCTTTCTTTTGGTGGTATTTGATTGCCTGTGCGGTTTTTATTTTTTTGCGCTATAATAAAAAAAGGCTGACAATTTTGAGGAAAAAAAAACAATATTTTGGACTTTTTGCTATAAAACATGTCCAGTAAAAAAAATGCAAAAATCAAATTTAGTCGTAAATTTCTGCCAAAATGCATTCTGCGACATGTCTTTTCTAAAAAAAAAAAAAAAAACCCAATACGTGTAAATTAATTGGTTTACGTGAAAGTTATAGCGTTTACAAATGGCAGGAAAGATACTGGGATTTTTAGTTTTTTTTTTTATACTAATAATGGCGGCGATCAGGGACTTATGGCAGCGACCAGTGACTTATGGCGGGACTGCGGCGGACATTCTGACATTGGGGGGTACTGACTTGGGGTCATTGACATCCCCAAAAACACTAATACAGTGATCAGTGCAAAAAAAAAAAAAAAACACTGACACTGTACTAATGGCAATGGGGAGGAAGGGGTTAACTTTATTTTGCAGGGAAGGGTTATAGGAGCGAGGGGAGTGTTTTACTAGGGGGCGGGGGTGTGTACTGGACGGGACAAGGCTGATCGAGAAAGAGAAACTGTTCTTTCTCGATCAGCTCATCCTCAAGCTGACAGGGAAGTGACAGACAGCACAGCTACTGCAGCTGTGCTCTCTGTCACTGTTTGCCGCCGATCGCCGGGAGATAGCCGGTAAGGACCGGCTGTGACCCAGCGACTCACATCTGCGGCAGTGATCGGCGGGACAGATAGGGTGGCGGCACGCCTCACGCGTGCCCCCTATTTGTTTACAAAACACGTTTTAAAATGTGGTTTTGCCTGCCAGTGCTGCCCTGCAGCCGTATATCTACAGTGGCTGGGCGGCAAGTGGTTAACAGGGTGTGTAGACTTGTATCCACTGTACAATGACATGAATGGCAGGAGCCAAGGTTTCCCAGTAGAATAATGCCCAGAGAACCACACTGCTTCAGCCAGTTTGCCTTCTTCCTATACTGCATCCTGGTGCCATCTCTTCCCCAGTTAAGTGACGCACACATACCCAGCCATCAACATGATGTAAAAGAAAACATGATTCATCAGACCAGGCCACTTTCTTCTATTGATATGTGGTACAGTTCTGATGGTCACGTACATGTCCACTGTAGGCACTTTTGGCCTTAAAGATTTCAATTTGTTTTTCAATTGAGTTGTACAGTTTATAGGTCACATTAACAGTGGAAGAGGTTCCGAAATGATTCATCTTTGCCTAATTTTTTACATCACAGAAACCTAACATTTTAACGGGTGTGTAGACTTTTTATATCCACTGCACAATACAATTTGGTACAAGAGGAAACAGAGGGCCCTGCTTCTTAGAGCTTACAATATAGGAGGAAGGGTTGAGTGATACAAAAAGTAATAGCGGTGGGGGATGAGCTGATTCAGGAAATAAAAAAGGCAGTTTACTAGTTAAAAGCAGGACAGGCTTCTTTAACCAATTCAATACCAGGCAATTTTACACCTTCCTGCCCAGGCCAGTTTTCAGTGCTCTCACACTTTGAATGACAATTGGCGGTCATACAACATTGTACCCAAACTGAAATTTTATCATTTTCTTCACACAACTAGAGCTTTCTTTTGGTGGAATTTAATCACCACTGGGGTTTTTATTTTTTGCTAAATTAACAAAAAAAGACCAAAAAGTTTGAAAAAAAAAAAAGGTTTTTCTTTGTTTCTGTTATAAAAGTTTGCAAATAAATAATTGTTCTTCATAAATTTAGGCCGAGATGTATTTTGCTACATGTCTTTGGTGAAAATAACCCAAATTAGGATGTATTTTTTAGTTTGTAGGAAAGTTATAGAGTTCACAAACTATGGTATAGATCTGAATATTGATCAATCCTGAAGTACTGACAGCCAATCTAATTTCTTGCGGTCCAAGAATGTCAGAACAGTACAGATATCCCCCAAATGACCCCTTTTTGCAGAGTAGACAGTCCGAAGTACTTCATAAGAGGAATGGCGAGTTTTTTGAAGTTGTATTTTTTTGTCATAATTTTTCGGAAAATTAAAAAAATTAGCTTCACTTTTTTTTTTACATGTTGTCACCAGTGCAGTACAGCGTCATCATATAACTGGCATGGCGGTGATCAGGGACACTGACTGGTGATTATATTTTTATAAAATTATATATTTTTTTCTATTTTTTATTTTTTATTAAATTTTTTTTCTTTTTTTTTTTAAGATTTTTTTTCATATTTCACTATGTCCAAAGTAGTACAATGTTACCATAGTAACATTGTACTACTTTGGGGAAGTGATCTTTTTTTTTTTTTTTTTTTACACAATTTGCTTATAGCAAAGAATTACTTTGCTATAAGCAAGCATTTACCTGAATGACCGATTAATTTGGGGTTTTTTTTTTTTTTTTTTTGTGCTTAGCTGTGATTTGGCACCGGCTAATCACATGACATGTGCATGTGATTAGCTGTGACCATTCACAGCTAGGCAGTAGTATACAATGGATGGCATGAATGAAGCCATCCATTGTATACAACTGTCATGTGACCTGCTGTGATTGGTCACAGCAGGTCACATGGTACCGGCAATGGGGGGCAGATACTCAGATCTGTCACCGGCCGTGTCCGAGGTACACGGCCGGTGACAGATCATGCCGCTGCGCCGCTCTGCAGGAGCGCAATCTGCACATGTGCGGGAGGACGCCATATGGCGTCCACCCGGAACGCTGATGACATTTGCCGCCCGCCATTCGGCCATAGGGCGGGCGGCAAATGGTTAAAGAGAAAGGTTTTCAGGGATCGCCTAAAGGTGGATTGATTAGGAGATAGTCGGACAGATTGGGTGGGGAGTTCCATAGGATGGGAGAAGCTTGGGAGAAGTCCTGGAGGCGAGCATGGGAGGAGGTGACACGGGAACTAGAGAGCAGGAGGTCTTGGAAGGATCGAAGTGAGTGGTTTGGTTGATATTCTGAGACCAGGTTGATGATGTAGCTGGGAGCAGAGTTGTGGATGGCTTTGTAAGTTGTTAGTATTTTGAATTTTATTCGTTGGGTGAGTGGCAGCCAATGCAGGAATTGGCAGAGAGGGGTAACAGCCACTGAATGGTTAGTAAGGTGGATGAGCCTGGCAGCAGTAGTCATGTTGGACTGGAGGGGGATAGCCTATGTAAAGATAAGCCAATGAGGAGAGAGTTACAGTAGTTGAGGCGAGAGAAGTTGTGCACCTAAAAACGTTTCACTTGATCCAAACCAATGACCTTCAATACTTCACAATTTCCATAAATGTCCCTCACAAAAGTTATTTTAATTTTAAGACAGCTGGAATTTCTTGTTGGATATGAGAACACAACATAGTATAATTGAAAAACCTACCTTCACAGGTTTTTAACCGCCTCCCACTCGCCATACAGTACGACGGCCGCAAGACGATTCTCTCGTTCTGGGAGGACGTCATATGATGTCCTCCCATTCTAACCGGCCATCCTATCTGGGAGCGCGCAGCGCGGCGATCACCGATCAACAAAAGGAGGCGAAGATGTCGGCTCAGTCATGTGATCAGCTATGTCCAATCACAGCTGATCTCAAGTAAATAGGGAAATGCCGGTTATCGGCATTTCTCTCCTCACAAGCTGTCACGCATCCCTCAGAGCGGACATGTACACTGATCATCAGGGCACTGATGATCAGTGTGCCCTGATGATCTGTGTAGCCCCAGGAGTGCCACCTGTCAGTGTCCATCAGTGCCAGCTGTCAGTGCTCATCCATGCCACCCATCAGTGCCACATCAATGCCACATTTCAGTGCCTACCAGTGCACATCAATGCCACATATCAGTGCCCACCAGTGCACATCAATGCCCATCTGAGCTGCCTTTCAGTGTCACCCATCAGTGCCAGTCAGTGCCACCTATCAGTGTGCATCAGTGCCCGTCAGTGCTGCCAGTCAGTGCCACCTAACAGTGCCAGTCTGTGCCGCCTATCAGTGCCATATATGAGTTCTGCCTTTCAGTGCCCATCAGTGATGCCTGTCAATGAACATCAGTGCCACCTACCAGTGCCTCCTCATCAGTGCCACCCATCAGTGTCTATCAGTGCAGCTTCATTAGCGCACATCAGTGAAGGAGAAAAATCACTTTACAAAATTTTATAACAAAAACTAAGAAAAATTTTTTTTTTCAAAATTTTTCAGTGGTTTTTGGTTTAAGAAAAAATAAATAAAAAACCCAGCGGTGATTAAAACACCACCAAAATAAAGCCCTGTCACAAAAGAATAATAAAAATTTCATATGGGTACAGTATTGCATGACCGCACAATTGTCATTCAAAGCGTGACAGCGCTGAAAGCTGGAAATTGGCCTGGGCAGGAAGGGGGTTATACGTGCCCTGTAGGCTAGTGGTTAATGGGAAATATGATTTCCTGCTTTATACACACACTCATCATTTTTGGAGCATTGTTTTTACGTGCACAACTTGCTTCTAGGTTTCTCAACTGACTTGTTTAATTCGTTTATTTCTCTTGCTTTGTATCTTGCCTATTTTTGCTCAGTTCCCGAGATCCAGTTAGCAAGTCATTTCCGAGTCCCACCATTATGTCATCAATTTTGGCGAGCCAGAGTTCCAGCTAGCAAGTTATTTCTGAGTCCCACCATTATGTCAAATTTTGGTGAGCCCCAATGACATCAGGCCACCCATATCTGGACTTGATTAGGAACCATATAAAGGCTCCCAAAATACCCCACAGCATCACTGATCCTGATGAAGTTGCTTTTGGACAGCGTTATGATTAGAGCCTTTGGCCACCAGTCTCCATGATATGGTTTCATTATTTTGTAGTAACCCAGAATATAACACACACTTGGTTGCTCTGTTTTAGCACACCTTACTATTTCATTCATATTTCCTACTTACCTTTTTTTCCCTCATCTTTGCATTACTACAGACTTCTTTGGTTACCTGAGCTACCTTATTGGTGGATTTGGTTCTGAGAGTCGCTATACTGTTATTAGTATCTTCAGATCATGTTTATTTTATTCTTAAGCCGCGTTGATAAAACTAGGGGCTCAATAAGATTTTCATTGTACTCAATACCAGGTTACAGGGACTGGCTTTTGGATTTTTTTTTCTCTTTTGGGTGGGGGGCAATGTTTCTAAGTGTTTTTTTTTTCTGTGGAGGTTGCTTTGTCATGCACTTAAGATTTTGAATTTTTTTTACAAAACATATTTGGTGTTGCCGACAATTGTTTACTCAGGGAAACCCATTGACTGGCTGTGCTGAAGACGAGACCAGCATAAGCCTCCATGTAATACACTGCAAAGGGGTGGGGGAGCGGGTGTTCTCTCCCTGCTGGTCTCTGCCTTCACAAGTACAAGAAGTCAGCAATAGTGGGGATTGTGTGACATCACATCTCCTCCTACTATTCTCTGGTCCTAAGCCACGCCCACAGACCAGCAGTATTTGAAGGGCTGAGACAAGCTAAGGGAGCATTTTTCTGAGGTACGTTAACAGCTGTATGTATGTTTGCATTAAAATGTATCCATTTATGGCAACAAGTTATTTTTTTTTTAAATTTGCGTTTACAACCACTTTAAGAAAAATGTCGAACCTTGGAGTATCCGCAACAAAAAATCCTTATAATTTATATAAGACCAATGTCTCCCCATTGCTGTGTTCACTTAAAGCTGCTGTTGTCACTTGAACACATTTTAAAATTTCTTGCATAGGCAGAATCTGCTTATTAAAAAATGGTAGTCTTTCCCAAACTCTTCTACAACATACAGGTCTTCCTCATATATCTGAAACATTCTGACTAAGTGAAAAATATTTATAGGATGTTTCGAGAATTCATTTGGGGCAGTAGGAGACTGCGAAGATTGCAACAGCCTAACTGGAATGGGGGACACAATTTTCATGACCCTGAAATGTATATCTTGGCCTCTCTAACCAAATACATAGCTGCGTGGTGTATACGGATACTGAACTTAATTAAAATATGATACCACATAATTTGTTATGCGTCCTCCATACTCAAACTGAGGCAACTGTGAACCCCTTCCTGTACTATATGGCTAGCATGGCAAAATCTGCACTTACAGTGTAGTGGATAGCCATGCATCTCTGTTGCTCCCCTTATGGAAAAACTCAGACTGCTCAGTCCACAGGACTTCGCACGCTCAAACAATACCATCACAAGAGTCTTTGACATACAGCGCTCAGCATAAACGAGTACACCCCTTTTGAAAAGTAAGATTTTAATCAGTATCTCAATGAACACAAGAACAATTTCTAAAATTTTGACAAAACGGTTTTGGAACATTTGTTCAGTTAACCAGTTGCCGACCGCAGATAGCTGAATGACGGCTGCACTGCGGCCGGCCAGTTCTGGGAGGGCGTCATATGACATCCTCCCAGAACGCGCTCTCCTGCGTGCCCCCCAGGCGATCTCCGTGATCGGTGTCCTACGGACACAGCTGATCATGTGATGTGGTAAAAGGCCAATCACAGCGGCTTTCTACCACGTGATCAGCCGTGTCCAATGACACGCTGATCACAGGGAAATGCAATTGCCGGTTCTCGGCTGCACTTTCCTCACGCTGTCAGAACATGGGGAAAGTACTGCCGAGAACCCGCAGTTGTCAGAGCAGGGATCGGCACCGATCATCAGGGCACTGATGATCAGTGCCCTGATGATCGGTGCCCAGCAGTTCCACCCACCAGTGCCCAGAATTGCCACCCACCAGTGCCCAGCAGTGCCACCCAACTCTGCCCATCAGTGCCACCCAACTCTGCCCATCAGTGCCACCCACCTGTGCCCAGCAGTGCCGCCAGTTAGTGCCCAGCAGTGCCGCCAGTCAGTGCCCAGCAGTGCCGCCAGTCAGTGCCGATTATCAGTGCCCATCATCAGTGCTGCCTATCAGTGCCCATCATCAGTGCTGCCTATCAGTGCCCATCATCAGTGCTGCCTATCAGTGCCCATCATCAGTGCTGCCTATCAGTGCCCATCATCAGTGCTGCCTATCAGTGCCCATCAGGGCTGCCTATCAGTGCCCATCAGGGCTGCCTATCAGTGCCCATCAGGGCTGCCTATCAGTGCCCATCAGGGCTGCCTATCAGTGCCCATCAGGGCTGCCTATCAGTGCAGCCTCATCAACAAACATCAGCAAAGGAGAAAAATTACCTGTTTGCTAAATTTTATAATAGAAACAAAGAAACCTTTTTTTTTTTCCCCAAATGGTTTGCTCTTTTTTTGTTTATAGCGCAAAAAATAAAACCCCCAGCGGCAAGTAAACACCACCAAAAGAAAGCTCTATTTGTGAGAAAAAAATGATAAAAATTTCATATGGGTACAATGTAGCATGACCACGCAATTGTCATTCTAAGTGCGACAGAGCTGAAAGCTGAAAATTGGCCTAGTAAGGAAGGGGGTATAAGTGCCTGGTAGGTTAATTACAAGAAAGTAAGGTTAATAATATAGAGAAAATGTGTATACGAGCGCACCTAATTGCAGCAGCTATACATCAGGTTACCATACACCATGAAAATACCACAAGTCAAAAAATGCAGCGCTACAAAAAACAAAATATACCAATGAAGACAGATAGGTGATTCACATGAGTAAATGTCTAAATAAATAAATATGACAGTTCATAAAAGGGGTGACTTTTAGTGATTTCTTCTCTGTCCTGCACTGCTGGTGCTCAGGCGTTGTGCAAAATAGTGCTGAGAGAATGCACACTCACCAGAACACCCAGGAAAATGAGCGTTTAGTAATTATATATTCCCCTTTAGAGACATCAGCCGGTCAGGATAGGATAGTGTACTAGCCTCCCTCACGAGCTCCTGGAGGAATCTGTGTGGTCCCTTGATAGGTAGCCTGTGGACTTCTCCCTGAGGACCGCATACGTTCCTTACCCAGTGATGGCTGCAAATGAATACTCCCCAAGGGAGTCAAAACAAGGAGGAGGAGCCCAGGAACGCCGTGACGTCACGCCGCCAGGAGCATCGTGGAGCTCCGGCGGCCATCTTTACCACTGGACGGTCAGTCCGTTTTTGATACACCGCTGTGTACTTTCGATGCTAGATGTAATAAAACCTCTGTTATCACCTACTACACTATGGAGGCGTCCTTGTTTTGACTCCCTTGGGGGGAGTATTCATTTGCAGCCATCACTGGGTAAGGAACGTATGCGGTCCTCAGGGAGAAGTCCACAGGCTACCTATCAAGGGACCACACAGATTCCTCCAGGAGCTCGTGAGGGAGGCTAGTACACTATCCTATCCTGACCGGCTGATGTCTCTAAAGGGGAATATATAATTACTAAACGCTCATTTTCCTGGGTGTTCTGGTGAGTGTGCATTCTCTCAGCACTATTTTGCACAACGCCTGAGCACCAGCAGTGCAGGACAGAGAAGAAATCACTAAAAGTCACCCCTTTTATGAACTGTCATATTTATTTATTTAGACATTTACTCATGTGAATCACCTATCTGTCTTCATTGGTATATTTGTGTTTTTGTAGCGCTGCATTTTTTGACTTAAGGTTAATAATATAACTCAGATTATGAAATCTTCAGTTTTACTCAAATTAGTTGATGTAAAAATGAATACACCCCACAACAAAAACTACTACATCTAGTATTTTGTATGACCTTTGTATGGACAGCACCAAGTCTTCTGGGCATGGAATGAACAAGTTGGCGACATATTGAAACATCTATCTTTTTCCATTCTTCAAAATGACCTCTTCTAGAGCCTGGGTGCTGGATGGAGAGTGATGCTCAACTTGTCTCTTCAGAATTCCCCATAGGTGTTTGATTGGGTTCAGATCAGGAGACATACTTGGCCACTGAATCACTTTCCCCCTGTTCTTCAAAAATGCAACAGTGGCCTTAGATGTGTGTTTTGGTCATGTTAGAAAAATGCACAACGACCAAGATCACAGAGTGATGGTAGCATCTTCTTTTTCAATATGGTGCAGTACATCTGTGAATTCATGATACCATCAATGAAATGCAGCTCCCCGACACCAACAGCCCTCATTCAGCCCCACAGAAAACACACTGCCACCACC